TATTTAACCTGATATGAGGACAATGGTTTCTACAGTACCTGGGTATTTAACCTGATATGAGGACAATGGTTTCTACAGTACCTGGGTATTTAACCTGATATGAGGACACATGGTTTCTACAGTACCTGGGTATTTAACCTGATATGAGGACAATGGTTTCTACAGTACCTGGGTATTTAACCTGATATAAGGACACATGGTTCTACCGTACCTGGAGTATTTAACCAGATATAAGGACACATGGTTTCTACATACCTGAGTATTTAACCAGATATAAGGACACATGGTTTCTACAGTACCTGAGTATTTAACCTGATATGAGGACACATGGTTCTACGTACCTGAGTATTAACCTGATATAGGACACATGGTTTCTACAGTACCTGAGTATTTAACCTGATATGAGGACACATGGTTTCTACAGTACCTGAGTATTTAACTTGATATAAGGACACATGGCGTCCAGAATGATCTCCTGGGTGATGGTGCTCTTATCACTGATCCTGAGAGTGAAGGTCACACTGCCCCTCAGTCCTCCTGGAGATGCTATCTGGACAGGAGACACCACTTCTACCACCGGCTTCCTATAGGGAGGTTAGAAGGTCAGAGGTCAGAGGTTAGGATTAGACCCTCTGGAGATGACACCTGGACCAGGCTTCCTATAGGGAGGTTAGAGGTCAGAGGTTAGGATTAGACCCTGTGGAGATGACACCTGGACCAGGCTTCCTATAGGGAGGTTAGAGGTCAGAGGTTTAGGATTAGACCCTGTGGAGATGACACCTGGACCAGGCTTCCTATAGGGAGGTTAGAGGTCAGAGGTTAAGGTTAGGATTAGACCCTGTGGAGATGACACCTGGCCGGGCTTCCTATAGGGGGGTTTAGAGGTAAAGGGTTTAAAGGGTTAGGATTAGCCCGTGAATGACACCGGGACCGGGTTTCCCTTTAAGGGGGGTTAGAGGTCGGGTTAAGGTTAGGATTAGACCCTGTGGGATACCCTGGACCAGGTTTTCCTAAGGGGGGTTTAATTTCGGGGTTAGGATTAGCCCCTCGGGAGTGACACCGGACCGGTTTCCCAAAGGAGGTTAAGGTCAGAGGAAAGGGGTTGGGTTTAGACCCTGTGGAGTGACACGGGCCAGTTCCATAGGGGGTTAAGGTCAGGGGTTTAAAGGTTGGGTTTAAACCCCGGGGAGACCCCTGGCCCGGGGTTTCCTATAGGGGGGTTAGAGTTCAGGGGTTAAGGTTGGGATTAGACCCTGTGGAATGAACCTGGGACCAGGCCCCTTAGGGGGCGAGGTAAAGGGGTTAAAAGGTTAGGATTAGCCCCTGGGAATGACCCTGGACCGGGTTCCCCTATAGGGGGTTAGGTAAAGGGGGTTAGGAAAACCCCTGTGGAGATACCCCGGGCCGGGCTTCCTATGGGAGGTTAGAGGTCAAGGTCAGGAAACCCTGTGGAGATGACACCTGGCCCGGGTTTCCCTATAGGGAGGTAAGGCAAGTTTGGATTAAACCCTGTGGAGATGACACCTGGACCGGCTTCTATGGGGAGGTTAGGGGGTCAAGGTCAAGGTTAGGATTAGCCCCGTGGAGAGACACCGGGACCAGGTTTCCCTATGGGGAGGTTGGGGTAGGGGTTTAAAAATTAGGATTAGACCCTGGGGGAATAACCTACCGGCTTCCTATGGGGGACCACAGGCACTGATGCGTATGTGTAGTTTTTTTACCCCTTTGGCCACACGTATATACTGGGATGTGTTCAGTTGGCTCCAAACTGCCTGAACAGGGACGGATTACCTGAACCTGTCCAATAAGAGAGGCTCATTTTCTTTTTCAGTGTGCCCTAATGAACACAACCCTGCTGTATCAGCCAGCCTTATGAGAACAGGAAAACAGTCTCTTCTCTCACCGCGTCTGTAGGTGATAGTCCATCACGTCCCAGGCGTCCCAGTACAGAGGAACATCATCAAACACCACAAACTGGTTCCCACGGCAACCGTCAGATATCGCCTCTCTGGAGCACGGACAGAGGAGAGAGAATGGTTTAACTCTCGCTGTGTGTTTGTGTTTGTGTATGTAGAGTCCTGTTCTGTATGCAGGTACCTTCTAGGCCTGTTCACTGCCTTGTTCTTAGCCCCAAGCTAGACTGGCCCTGGGCTAAGGATTCACACTTGTATTCCAAAGCCCTGGGCTAACAGACAAACACACATGCAGCCAACATTCTATCTCTGCCAATGTTATAACCATAGACATTAAAACCAGTAGATAGTGCTGACGTCATCCACGTATTCCTATGGAAAACTCCCGATGGTGGATGAAGATTTGGCATGGGTCCCCAGATCCTCAAAAAGTTATACAGCTGCACCACCGAGAGCATCCTGACCGGTTGCATCATCGCCTGGTATGGCAACTGCTCGGCATCCGACCGCATGGTGCTACAGAGGGGTAGTGCGTACGGCCCAGTACATCACTGGGACCGTGCTCCCTGCCATCCAGGACCTCTATACCAGGCGGTGTCAGAGGAAGGCCCAAAAAATTGTCAGAATCCTGCCAGCCAAGCCACAGACTGTTCTTTCTGTTACCGCACGGCAAGCGGTACCGGAGCGCCAAGTCTAGGTCCAAAAGGCTCCTCAACAGCTTCTACCCCCAAGCCATAAGACTGCTGAACAATTAATCAAATGGCCACCCGGACTATTTACATTGACCCCCCCCCCCCCCTTTGTTTTAACACTGCTGCTACTCGCTGTTTATTATCTATGGATAGTCACTTTACCCCTACCTACATGTCCATATTACCTCGACTAACCTGTACCCCCGCATATTGACTCGGTACCGGTACCCCCTGTATATAGCCTCCAGCCCATTGACTCAGTACCGGTACCCCCTGTATATAGCCTCGCTGTTATTTTATTGTTACTTTTTATTACATGTTTTACTTTAGTTTATTTAGTAAATCTTTTCTTAACTCTTTCTTGAACTGCATTGTTGGTTAAGGGCTTGTAAGTAAGCGTTTCACTGTAAGGTCTACACATGTTGTATTCGGCGCATGTGACAAATACAATTTGATTTGATTTGATTTGAAGCCGGAAGTATTTTAATTTGAAGTGGCCGTAACTAGCAAAGGATCATGGTCGATGTAGTTGTTTTCATCCTGACTGAGAGAGCCTCCTCGTAGCCTGCCAGCCTGTGATTGTCACATGGTCCTGTGTGAGGACAAATGTAGTAGTATTTCACGTGGGGATCAAACTTGACCATAATATTTATTTTACATTTACATTTTAGTCATTTAGCAGACGCTCTTATCCAGAAGCAACTTACAGTTAGTGAGCGCATACATTTTCATACATTTATTTTGGCCGTTCTGCAGATCGTAATTTACATCGGCTTTCTAGGGCAGACCAGGGCTTTGGCACCGTTAGGTTGCTATGCAGTATTTTACCAGCAGAGCTCCAGACCAGACACTGGGGGACTGGTTATAAGCAATAAAGCATTTATTAACACAATATGTCCTCTTGGTTCTTGCCTAGCATTTTGTTTTCCAACAGTGATGGTTGGTATAAACACCTCGGTTGATTAGCTGTCCGATCTCGGAAAAAATAATGCTTCACTTTTGAAAATGCGATCCTGTACAAAGAATGCTGTGCATGGACAGAGACACTTTTGAGGAGATGCGATACTCCATTGAAATCGTATTGACGCCCATTGTGTACGTTGCCCACGCATTGTCAATGGACCGCGCGGTGCATTCTGGCCGATTTTGGGACAAGGAGCGCTCTCTTTCAAGGAGTGAATGGGAGTCAATTGGGCGCTAGCTCCAAAAAAAACAACATTAGCATGAAGTACAACATTGCAAATCTTTTTACGAGATGTGAAATAATGAACTTGTTTCCTGTAACATCGTATAGCTTTGGAATCGTGACATTACGGAATTTCGAGGAAAATAGGCAGGTTTCTCGACTCATACCGTGACTTTGCTCTTCCCGCTGTAGAGTTTCAGTTGACTAGCAAGGGGATGTTAGCCAGCCTGCATAGCAACCGTTGTTGTTAGCCATAGCAACCAATGTTTTTCCAATTTTTTAGGTTTTTGTCTTCAGACGGAAGGATGAAATAGTATAAATGTACTTATTAAAATAGCATGCAGAATGCATCACAGGCATATGCAAATTAAGTGAAAAATCTGTGTTGTTCTTGACCCCGTTTCACACTGGCTATTTTAGCTCTGTGTTTGTGGGGCTAACCCCGAAAAGTCGGTGCTAACCCTGCTTCGGAGCAGGGCCAGCTATCCCTGGGCTAAGATTGATCCTAGCCCTCTTTAGAATGTGCAAGTGTGAACACTCGCTTAGCCCAGGGCTAAAATACCCCTTAGCCCAGGGCTAAAATACCCCTTCGCCCCGGGCTAAAATACCCCTTAGCCCAGAGCTAAAATACCCCTTAGCCCAGAGCTAAAATACCCCTTAGCCCAGAGCTAAAATACCCCTTCGCCCCGGGCTAAAATACCCCTCAGCCCAAGGCTAAAATACCCTTTAGCCCAGAGCTAAAATACCCCTTAGCCCAGGGCTAAAATACCCCTTCGCCCCGGGCTAAAATACCCCTTAGCCCAGAGCTAAAATACCCCTTAGCCCAGAGCTAAAATACCCCTTAGCCCAGAGCTAAAATACCCCTTCGCCCCGGGCTAAAATACCCCTCAGCCCAAGGCTAAAATACCCTTTAGCCCAGAGCTAAAATACCCCTTAGCCCAAGGGTAAGGTGTGAACGCGCCTTCTGAAGATGGGATTTTACCTGTTAGTCTTGACCAGGTACAGAGAAGCCAGACATCCATCCTTATTCACAACAGCACGTAAGATCCCATTCTCCATGAGGACAGTACCATCAGCCTAGGACAGAACAACATTCAACTAAGATTTATCAACCGAAGAGTCACAGTCAACTGAAAGCGTCAAATAAAAGTGACAGTGTCAAATAATGAAATAAAGAACTATTCCCATGAATCAAATGAAATGTCCTAGCTATGTCCTGTGTATTACCTGAACCGTGACAGACACCAGAGTGACAGGTTTGGTTCCAGTGGCTTCACAGACAGACACGACACCAACACTGGGGACTGTCACCAGAGCTACAGAATAACATAGAAACCGGCAGACAGAGAGATGTGGACATCTGACATGCAGGGGTCATGAAAAAGGTCTAAATGGTTCAAATATGCATCACCTCTAAATCAGTAACTTAACTAATTGGATTGTGAAAGAACAAAACCATTGTATTGTAGTTGAGTAAGTGCATCAATGACGTGTGAGTATTCACACTATATAGTCAGCTCCAGTACCTAGGCCTGGTTGTTGTAGATCAGGAGCGCCCCCTGTCAGTGGGAGGACCTCAGTGCGTTCCCAGGGCAGAGTGTTGAGGACAGCCGAGTCTCCTGTCCGGGGTGCAGCCCCCGTAGAGCCCAGGGCCTCACAGGAGACACGCAGCAGTCTGGTCCCCACGGTGCGGATGTCTGAGAGACACAGAGACACAGGGACACAGAGACACAGGGACACAGGGACAAACACACAGGAGTTGGGGTTCACACTCCATGTATAGAAAGTCTGTGACCTTTTCTAAAACCACAGACTGTCTGCTATTCTGTCTGTAACCATCTGTAATTAGCCTACCCAACTACCTCATCCCCATATTGTTATTTATTTTGCTTATTTGCACCCCAGTATCTCTATTTGCACATCATCTCTTGCGCATCTATCACTCCAGTGTTAATACTAATTGTAATTATTTTGCACTATAGCCTATTTATTGCCTTACCTCCATAACTTACTACATTTGCACACACTGTATATATATTTTCTGTAGTATTTTTGACTTTATGTTTTGTTTTATATACCTTGATAATATACAGCTGTTATATACCTTGATAATATACAGCTGTTATATACCTTGATAATATCGTAGTGCTGTTATATACCTTGATAATATCATAGTGCTGTTATATACCTTGATAATATACAGCTGTTATATACCTTGATAATATCGTAGTGCTGTTATATACCTTGATAATATCGTAGTGCTGTTATATACCTTGATAATATCGTAGTGCTGTTATATACCTTGATAATATACAGCTGTTATATACCTTGATAATATCGTAGTGCTGTTATATACCTTGATAATATCATAGTGCTGTTATATACCTTGATAATATCGTAGTGCTGTTATATAACTTGATAATATCGTAGTGCTGTTATATACCTTGATAATATACAGCTGTTATATACCTTGATAATATACAGCTGTTATATACCTTGATAATATCGTAGTGCTGTTATATACCTTGATAATATCGTAGTGCTGTTATATACCTTGATAATATCGTAGTGCTGTTATATACCTTGATAATATCGTAGTGCTGTTATATACCTTGATAATATCGTAGTGCTGTTATATACCTTGATAATATCGTAGTGCTGTTATATACCTTGATAATATCGTAGTGCTGTTATATACCTTGATAATATACAGCTGTTATATACCTTGATAATATCGTAGTGCTGTTATATACCTTGATAATATCGTAGTGCTGTTATATACCTTGATAATATCGTAGTGCTGTTATATACCTTGATAATTACAGCTGTTATATACCTTGATAATATACAGCTGTTATATACCTTGATAATATCGTAGTGCTGTTATATACCTTGATAATATCGTAGTGCTGTTATATACCTTGATAATATCGTAGTGCTGTTATATACCTTGATAATATCGTAGTGCTGTTATATACCTTGATAATATCATAGTGCTGTTATATACCTTGATAATATCGTAGTGCTGTTATATACCTTGATAATATCGTAGTGCTGTTATATACCTTGATAATATCGTAGTGCTGTTATATACCTTGATAATATCGTAGTGCTGTTATATACCTTGATAATATCGTAGTGCTGTTATATACCTTGATAATATCGTAGTGCTGTTATATACCTTGATAATATCGTAGTGCTGTTATATACCTGATAATATACAGCTGTTTATATCGTAGTGCTGTTATATACCTTGATAATATCGTAGTGCTGTTATATACCTTGATAATATCGTAGTGCTGTTATATACCTTGATAATATCGTAGTGCTGTTATATACCTTGATAATATCGTAGTGCTGTTATATACCTTGATAATATACAGCTGTTATATACCTTGATAATATTGTAGTGCTGTTATATACCTTGATAATATCGTAGTGCTGTTATATACCTTGATAATATCGTAGTGCTGTTATATACCTTGATAATATCGTAGTGCTGTTATATACCTTGATAATATCGTAGTGCTGTTATATACCTTGATAATATCGTAGTGCTGTTATATACCTTGATAATATCGTAGTGCTGTTATATACCTTGATAATATACAGCTGTTATATACCTTGATAATATCGTAGTGCTGTTATATACCTTGATAATATCGTAGTGCTGTTATATACCTTGATAATATCGTAGTGCTGTTATATACCTTGATAATATCGTAGTGCTGTTATATACCTTGATAATATCGTAGTGCTGTTATATACCTTGATAATAAACAGCTGTTTATATCGTAGTGCTGTTATATACCTTGATAATATCGTAGTGCTGTTATATACCTTGATAATATCGTAGTGCTGTTATATACCTTGATAATATACAGCTGTTATATACCTTGATAATATCGTAGTGCTGTTATATACCTTGATAATATCGTAGTGCTGTTATATACCTTGATAATATACAGCTGTTTATATCGTAGTGCTGTTATATACCTTGATAATATCGTAGTGCTGTTATATACCTTGATAATATACAGCTGTTATATACCTTGATAATATCGTAGTGCTGTTATATACCTTGATAATATCGTAGTGCTGTTATATACCTTGATAATATACAGCTGTTTATATCGTAGTGCTGTTATATACCTTGATAATATCGTAGTGCTGTTATAAACCTTGATAATATCGTAGTGCTGTTATATACCTTGATAATATCGTAGTGCTGTTATATACCTTGATAATATCGTAGTGCTGTTATATACCTTGATAATATCGTAGTGCTGTTATATACCTTGATAATATCGTAGTGCTGTTATATACCTTGATAATATCGTAGTGCTGTTATATACCTTGATAATATCGTAGTGCTGTTATATACCTTGATAATATCGTAGTGCTGTTATATACCTTGATAATATCATAGTGCTGTTATATACCTTGATAATATACAGCTGTTATATACCTTGATAATATACAGCTGTTATATACCTTGATAATATCGTAGTGCTGTTATATACCTTGATAATATCATAGTGCTGTTATATACCTTGATAATATCGTAGTGCTGTTATATACCTTGATAATATCGTAGTGCTGTTATATACCTTGATAATATCATAGTGCTGTTATATACCTTGATAATATACAGCTGTTATATACCTTGATAATAACAGCTGTTATATACCTTGATAATATCGTAGTGCTGTTATATACCTTGATAATATCGTAGTTGCTGTTATATCCTTGATAATATACAGCTGTTATATACCTTGATAATATCGTAGTGCTGTTATATACCTGATAATATACAGCTGTTATATACCTTGATAAATCGTAGTGCTGTTATATACCTTGATAATATCGTAGTGCTGTTATATACCTTGATAATATACAGCGGTTATATACCTTGATAATATACAGCTGTATATACCTTGATAATATCGTAGTGCTGTTATATACCTGATAATATACAGCTGTTATATACCTTGATAATATGTAGTGCTGTTATATACCTTGATAATATTCGTAGTGCTGTTATATACCTTGATAATATCGTAGTGCTGTTATATACTTGATAATATCGTAGTGCTGTTATATCCTTGATAATATCGTAGTGCTGTTATATACCTTGATAATATCGTAGTGCTGTTATATACCTTGATAATATCGTAGTGCTGTTATATACCTTGATAATATCGTAGTGCTGTTATATACCTTGATAATATACAGCTGTTTATATCGTAGTGCTGTTATATACCTTGATAATATCGTAGTGCTGTATATACCTTGATAATATCGTAGTGCTGTTATATACCTTGATAATATCGTAGTGCTGTTTATACCTTGATAATATCGTAGTGCTGTTATATACCTTGATAATATAAAGCTGTTATATTACCTTGATAATATTGTAGTGCTGTTATTACCTTGATAATATCGTAGTGCTGGTTATATACCTTGATAATATCGTAGTGCTGTTATATACCTTGATAATATCGTAGTGCTGTTATATACCTTGATAATATCGTAGTGCTGTTATATACCGTGATAATATCGTAGTGCTGTTATATACCTTGATAATATCGTAGTGCTGTTATATACCTTGATATATACAGCTGTTATATACCTTGATAATATCGTATGCTGTTATATTACCTTGATAATATCGTAGTGCTGTTATAATACCTTGATAATATCGGTAGTGCTGTTATAACCTTGATAATATCGTAGTGCTGTTATATACCTTGATAATATCGTAGTGCTGTTATATACCTTGATAATATCGTAGTGCTGTTATATACCTTGATAATATACAGCTGTTTATATCGTAGTGCTGTTATATACCTTGATAATATCGTAGTGCTGTTTATACCCTTGATAATATCGTAGTGCTGTTATATACCTTGATAATATACAGCTGTTATATACCTTGATAATATCGTAGTGCTGTTATATACCTTGATAATATCGTAGTGCTGTTATATACCTTGATAATATACAGCTGTTTATATCGTAGTGCTGTTATATACCTTGATATATCGTAGTGCTGTTATATACCTTGATAATATACAGCTGTTATATACCTTGATATATCGTAGTGCTGTTATATACCTTGATAATATCGTAGTGCTGTTATATACCTGATAATATACAGCTGTTTATATCGTAGTGCTGTTATATACCTTGATAATATCGTAGTGCTGTTATAACCTTGATAATATCGTAGTGCCTGTTATATACCTTGATAATATCGTAGTGCTGTTATATACCTTGATAATATCGTAGTGCTGTTATATTACCTTGATAATATCGTAGTGCTGTTTATACCTTGATAATATCGTTGCTGTTATATACCTTGATAATATCGTAGTGCTGTTATATACCTTGATAATATCGTAGTGCTGTTATATACCTTGATAATATCGTAGTGCTGTTATATACCCTTGATAATATCATAGTGCTGTTATATACCTTGATAATATCAGCGTTATATACCTTGATAATATACAGCTGTTATATACCTTGATAATATCGTAGTGCTGTTATATACCTTGATAATATCATAGTGCTGTTATATACCTTGATAATATCGTAGTGCTGTTATATACCTTGATAATATCGTAGTGCTGTTATATACCTTGATAATATCATAGTGCTGTTATATACCTTGATAATATACGCTGTTATATACCTTGATAATATACAGCTGTTATTACCTTGATAATATCGTAGTGCTGTTATATACCTTGATAATATCGTAGTGCTGTTATATACCTTGATAATATACAGCTGTTATATACCTTGATAATATCGTAGTGCTGTTATATACCTTGATAATATACAGCTGTTATATACCTTGATAATATCGTAGTGCTGTTATATACCTTGATAATATCGTAGTGCTGTTATATACCTTGATAATATACAGCTGTTATATACCTTTGATAATATACAGCTGCTATATACCTTGATAATATCGTAGTGCTGTTATATACCTTGATAATATACTAATGCTGTTATATACCTTGATAATATCGTAGTGCTGTTATATACCTTGATAATATCGTAGTGCTGTTATATACCTTGATAATATCGTAGTGCTGTTATATACCCTTGATAATATCGTAGTGCTGTTATATACCTTGATATATCATAGTGCTGTTATATACCTTGATAATATCGTAGTGCTGTTATATACCTTGATAATATCGTAGTGCTGTTATATACCTTGATAATATCGTAGTGCTGTTATATCCTTGATAATATCGTAGTGCTGTTATATACCTTGATAATATCGTAGTGCTGTTATATACCTTGATAATATCGTAGTGCTGTTATATACCTTGATAATATCGTAGTGCTGTTATATACCTTGATAATATCGTAGTGCTGTTATATACCTTGATAATATACAGCTGTTATATACCTTGATAATATCGTAGTGCTGTTATATACCTTGATAATATCGTAGTGCTGTTATATACCTTGATAGTATCGTAGTGCTGTTATATACCCTTGATAATATCTTAGTGCTGTTATATACCTTGATAATATACAGCTGTTATATACCTTGATAATATACAGCTGTTATATACCTGATAATATCGTAGTGCTGTTATATACCTTGATAATATCGTAGTGCTGTTATATACCTGATAAATCGTAATGCTGTTATATACCTTGATAATATCGTAGTGCTGTTATATACCTTGATAATATCGTAGTGCTGTTATATACCTTGATAATATACAGCTGTTATATACCTTGATAATATCGTAGTGCTGTTATATACCTTGATAATATCGTAGTGCTGTTATATACCTTGATAATATCGTAGTGCTGTTATATACCTTGATAATATCGTAGTGCTGTTATATACCTTGATAATATCGTAGTGCTGTTATATACCTTGATAATATACAGCTGTTATATACCTTGATAATATCGTAGTGCTGTTATATACCTGATAATATCGTAGTGCTGTTATATACCTTGATAATATCGTAGTGCTGTTATATACCTTGATAATATCGTAGTGCTGTTATATACCTTGATAATATCGTAGTTGCTGTTATATACCTTGATAATATCGTAGTGCTGTTATATACCTTGATAATATCATAGTGCTGTTATATACCTTGATAGTATCGTAGTGCTGTTATATACCTTGATAATATCTTAGTGCTGTTATATACCTTGATAATATACAGCTGTTATATACCTTGATAATATACAGCTGTTATATACCTTGATAATATCGTAGTGCTGTTATATACCTTGATAATATCGTAGTGCTGTTATATACCTTGATAATATCGTAATGCTGTTATATACCTTGATAATATCGTAGTGCTGTTATATACCTTGATAATATCGTAGTGCTGTTATATACCTTGATAATATACAGCTGTTATATACCTTGATAATATCGTAGTGCTGTTATATACCTTGATAATATCGTAGTGCTGTTATATACCTTGATAATATCGTAGTGCTGTTATATACCTTGATAATATCGTAGTGCTGTTATATACCTTGATAATATCGTAGTGCTGTTATATACCTTGATAATATCGTAGTGCTGTTATATACCTTGATAATATCGTAGTGCTGTTATATACCTTGATAATATACAGCTGTTATATACCTTGATAATATCGTAGTGCTGTTATATACCTTGATAATATCGTAGTGCTGTTATATACCTTGATAATATCGTAGTGCTGTTATATACCTTGATAATATCGTAGTGCTGTTATATACCTTGATAATATCGTAGTGCTGTTATATACCTTGATAATATCGTAGTGCTGTTATATACCTTGATAATATACAGCTGTTATATACCTTGATAATATCGTAGTGCTGTTATATACCTTGATAATATCGTAGTGCTGTTATATACCTTGATAATATCGTAGTGCTGTTATATACCTTGATAATATCGTAGTGCTGTTATATACCTTGATAATATCGTAGTGCTTCCTCCACCACCATCTCTATACAGCTGCCAGGGATCACATCGTGGAACTGGTTCAGCAGCAGCAGCCTGAAACATAAAACACAAATTGTAGATAAGTTGAGTGTTGAGGACCGAGGGAGATGGCAGGTCAGCGCAGGACAACAACGTATTTAGTTTGCCATTCATTTTTAGCTACCAGTGCAGCAATTTGGTTCCAAAAAAAAAAGACTATTTACATTATCACAAAAATGAAGAAATAAAAAATAATAAAGACTTTAGTTAGAAAACATGAATAGTTTAATAGTTCACTCAGTATGTACAACTCTGGTTCTAGACAGCCATGCTGGGAACAACAGCAATAACAGCTTCAATAACTGTGAGACCTGCTTTTCGTCCTCAGGACTAGTCTCACACAAACAAGGGGGGACGTCACTTCACCTAGTCTCACACAAACAAGGGGGGACGTCACTCCACCTAGTCTCACACAAACAAGGGGGGACGTCACTTCACCTAGTCTCACACAAACAAGGGGGGACGTCACTCCACCTAGTCTCACACAAACAAGGGGGGACGTCACTTCACCTAGTCTCACACAAACAAGGGAGGACGTCACTTCACCTAGTCTCACACAAACAAGGGGGGACGTCACTCCACCTAGTCTCACACAAACAAGGGGGGACGTCACTTCACCTAGTCTCACACAAACAAGGGGGGACGTCACTTCACCTAGAAAACAGGTAACTTCCATTGCACATAAATAACATACCACATGACCAACATTCAGGTAATTATACTGAACAACAATATAAATGCAACATGTAAAGTGTTGGTCCCATATTTCATGAGCTGAAATAAAATATCCCAGAAATGTTCCATACGCACAAAAAGCTTATTTCTCTAAAATGTTGTGCCCAAATTTGTTTACATCCCTGTTAGTGAGCATTTCTCCTTTGCCAAGATAATCCATCCACCTGACAGGTGTGGCATATCAAGAAGCTGATTAAACAGCATGATCATTACACAGGTGCACCTTGTGCTGGGGACAATAAAAGGCCACTCTAAAATGTGCAGTTTTGTCACACAACACAATGCCACAGATGTCTCAAGTTTTGAGGGAGCGTACAATTGGCATGCTGACTGCAGGAATGTTTCTCTACCATAAGCCGCCTCCAACGTCGTTTTAGAGAATTTGGCATTACATCCAACCGGCCTCACAACTGCAGACCACATGTAACAAAGCCAGCCCAGCACCTCCATATCCAGCTTCTTCACCTGCGGGATCGTCTGAGACCAGCCACCCGGACAGCTGATGAAACTGTTGGTTTGCACAACCGAATAATTTCTGCACAAACTGTCAGAAACCGTCTCTGGGAAGCTCATCTGCGTGCTCGTCGTCCTCACCAAGGTCTTGACCTGACTGCAGTTTGGAGTCGTAACCGACTTCAGTGGGCAAATGCTCACCTTCGATGGCCACTGGCACGATGGAGGTGTGCTCTTCATGGATGAATCCCGGTTTCAACTGTACCGGGCAGATGGCAGACAGCGTGTATGGCGACGTGTGGGCGAGCGGTTTGCTGACGTCAACATTGTGAACAGAGTGCCCCATGGTGGCGGTGGGGTTATGGTATGGGCAGGCATAAGCTACAGACAATGAACACAATTGCATTTTATCGATGGCAATTTCAATGAACAGAGATACCGTGATGAGATCCTGAGGCCCATTGTCATGCCATTCATCCGCCGCCATCACCTCATGTTTCAGCATGATAATGCACGGCCCCATGTCGCAAGGATCTGTACACAATTCCTGGAAGCTGAAATGTCCCAGTTCTTCTATGGCCAGCATACTCACCAGACATGTCACCCTTTGAGCATGTTTGGGATGCTCTGGATCGACATGTACAACAGCGTGTTCCAGTTCCCGCCAATATCCAGCAACTTTGCACAGCCATTGAAGAGGAGTGGGACAACATTCCACAGGCCACAATCAACAGCCTGATCAACTCTATGTGAAGGAGATGTGTCACGCTGCATGAGGCAAATGGTGGTCACACCAGATACTGACTGGTTGTCTAAACCACGCCCCTACCTTTTTTAAATCTGTGACCAACAGATGCATGTCTGTATTCCCAGTCATGTGAAACCCATAGATTAGGGCCTAATGAATTTATTTCAATTGACTGATTTCCTTATTGAACTGTACCTCAGTAAAATCTTTGAAATTATTGCATGTTGCGTTTACATTTTTGTTCAGTGTATATCCACATTTCCAGATGGTAATAATTATGAAAAAGCCTTTTCGTTGGCATAATTCAATAGGAAAACAGGTTATCTATTCCTGTATAAATGTGATGACGTTTACACAGAGCGTGCTGACGTCACCTTCCCTATAACCACTGCATTCGAGCGGCAGACATCTGTTCACTTTTCGCAGTGGAGGGTACCAGGAAGTGTAAGCGTAAATGTTAGCTATACTTTGGCTGTAAACTTTAACAAAATAATACATTTGGACTAAACCTGTAACTGTGTCTGTGTGATTCTGTAACTGTGGTTAACCAGTAATGTAAACAAACTCTTACGAACAGAGCTAGTGTGGTCCGACTGGGGAACTCGGGGTCTCAGCTAGAATAGCAGAATGCACAAGGTGTAATTTCCAAATTTGGTTGTGCATCAGAGTTACTCAATTAGCCCATGTCAACTAATTATTTTTAGATTGGTAAGTTATTCTAGTGACCAGCCATCTAAACTTGCAGTAAGCATGGTCGTATTACAGACCATTGATCATCAGTTATCAAACAACCCTACAGCAAAATGTGTAGAATTGCATGCAATTAGTTGTATAATTGCTAAATATTTTCTCCGCCCCATGGCAAAATGAGTAGAATTGCAGGAAATTAACTTTGTCTAATTGCAGGAAATAAAACATACATTTTATTCTCTTCGCTGTCATGAGGGGGGCCGCTAAAATGTTTTGCTCGCAAGGTGTGGGGCGAGGGGGGAGGGAGGGGCGAGGGGGGGGGGGATTACGCAGACCCATGAGCCACTGCGGCCCCTCATGATGAGTTCCGTTTTTTGGTGGCCCTCACCCCCATCGAAGGCGCCCATCCCTGGTATAGCAGATGCTAAAATGTATCAATGTTACCACGAGCAACCAGAATAGATCTGGTTCACCTGAGAGATGGAGAACTGCAGACATGTAGGAACAACAGGTCAGCATACAGGTGTTTAAAACCAGGTTAAGGAATGGTGAGAAATACCAGGTTAAGGAATGGTGAGTAATACCAGGTTAAGGAATGGTGTGAATACCAGGTTAAGGAATGGTCTGTAATACCAGGTTAGAGGTGTAATACCTTAAGGAATGTGAGAAATACCAGGTTAAGGAATGGTTGTATACGTAGAATGTGAAATACCAGGTTAAGGAATGGTTTGTAATACCAGGTTAAGGAATGGTGAGAAATACCAGGTTAAGGAATGGTCTGTAATACCAGGTTAAGGAATGGTCTGTAATACCAGGTTAAGGAATGGTCTGTAATACCAGGTTAAGGAATGGTCTGAAATACCAGGTTAAGGAATGGTTTGTAATACCAGGTTAAGGAATGGTCTGAAATACCAGGTTAAAGAATGGTCTGTAATACCATGTTAAGGAATGGTGAGTAATACCAGGTTAAGGAATGGTGAGAAATACCAGGTTAAGGAATGGTTGTAATACCAGGTTAAAGGAAATGTGTGTGGTAAATACCAGGTTAAGGAATGGTCTGAAATACCAGGTTAAGGAATGTCTGAATACCAGGTTAGGAAGTGGTCAGAAATTAAACAGTTAGGAATGTGAGAATACCAGGTTTAAGGAATGGTCTGAAATACCAGGTTAAGGAATGGTCTGAAATACCAGGTTAAGGAATGGTCAGAAATACCAGGTTAAGGAATGGTGAGAAATACCAGGTTAAGGAATGGTCAGAAATACCAGGTTAAGGAATGGTCTGAAATACCAGGTTAAGGAATGGTCTGAAATACCAGGTTAAGGAATGGTTAGAAATACCAGGTTAAGGAATGGTGCGAAATACCAGGTTAAGGATGGTTGAAAATACCAGGTTAAGGAATGGTTGAAAATAACCAGTTAAGAATGGTCGAATCACCAGGTTAAGAATGGTCTGGAAAGACCAGGTTAAGGAATGTCTGTAATACCAGGTTTCAAAAGGAAAATTGTGCTGTAAAATACCAGGTTAAGCGTCCTTACCTTTCGTATAAGTTAGTTTCACAGTTTGGGGTTAACCGTTCATTAAACCCGTGTTGGAATGTTAATCGTGGAATGTGGCATTACCAGAGGATGGTTGTTGGAGGTTGGAAGTCTGTATACACAGTGAAGCGCTGGCCATAAGTCCAGAGCAAGTCTACACTACATTAGTGATCTGATAGACACACATGGGTTGGACAAGTGGCAGAGAAACTTGTCATTCACAAAAGCAGTTATAACAATATAATTTTAATTAAACTGTGTTCCTTCACCGATTCAACCTAGATGTTTGGCTCCAAAACCCCTACCACAAACGCTCGGGAAAGAGGCTTTAGAAAAAGTCACCGATTAGCCAGATTAGGCTCAGATTAGGACCGTTTTTTAGGCCCGATTTGGCAAAATTAGACCTTGATTAGGCATCCTCCGGTTCCCGTGGTTGGGGTGTATGGGTTTGTCAGACAGTGCCAGTTGGTGCCTGTGTGGTGTAAGGTGTGTAGATTAGGACCAGATTAGGCCCCACCTGTGCCTGTGTGGTGTAGGTGTGTAGATTAGGCCCAGATTAGGCCCCACCTGTGCCTGTGTGGTGTAGGTGTGTAGATTAGGCCCAGATTAGGACCAGATTAGGCCTCACCTGTGCCTGTGTGGTGTAGGTGTGTAGATTAGGACCAGATTAGGCCCCACCTGTGCCTGTGTGGTGTAGGTGTGTAGATTAGGCCCAGATTAGGCCCCACCTGTGCCTGTGTGGTTTAGGTGTGTAGATTAGGCCCAGATTAGGACCAGATTAGGGCCCTCACCTGTGCCTGTGTGGTGTAGGTGCCATTGTGTAGTTCTAGAAACAGTTCTCCAGTCCAGGTA